ATTATTCTTACTTGGGATGTCTATACCACAACCATAGTGTTCCTGAGTGCCCCCACCCACCCCTTCCTGCCCATCACACAGGCAGTGCTCCTCCAGGGGTCCCCCCCTGAACCTCAAGCCTGCTGGAGGTAGATGTCTCCACAATGACTCCTGGATGGGGACATCCCTAGAGTAGCTTCATGGCCACGGCCCTGGGTTTGAAGCACACACACAGCAACAGGGGCAAGTGGACAGGGGCAGCCACCCTTGGCTGCACCACAGATGTGGCACAGACACAGGCCAAGGAGCCTGTGGACATGGACTCCCAGCAGTAGGAGCTCTTCCATGTGTTTCCTTCACAGTAAGAATAAGACCTGGGCTGTGCTATACATGGAGCTCATGCGGGCAGCAGCAGAGCTGCACTTGCCACATCAGCCAGGCTCATTCTGCAGGTTCTGGCTCTTCACCTCCGCACGAGTAGTCCCTTCCCCTCGCGCCACCGCCTCAGAAGTTGTCCTGGGCTCATCCACGCTTCCTGGCCTGGGTGGCCAGATCCTCTCAGCATACCAGCGCTACCTGGAGTCACCCTGGAGTGGGATGATCCCCACTGTCTGGGCAGCCTACTTCCTCCTGTTGCTGCTCAGTGCTCTCGGCAGACGTAGTGACACAGGTTGCTTAACTGTACCTCGTTTACAGTTTATCCTTTTTGCTCCCTGATTGCATGAATTTACCTCTTCCAAACAAGTTTTCAGCACACATTTGAAAGGTGCTGTCTATGAGTATCTGTGTGTGTGAACTTAAGATTCACTTCTGTGAATTATTGTAAGTAAAAGTCAATCACATGAAGGTTCATGAAAAGCAGACACAAAAGGACCTTGAACATGGCCCAAGGAAGCTTCTTAAGGAAGGATCACAAGTATTCACAGTCCTTTTACTGCAGCAAAACAAACTTATTTTACCAACTTAATACACTACAGAAAATTTTGGGCCTTGGCCGACACTGGCACTCAGGCTTCTGCCTGGTACTGATCTCAACAGGGTCCCTTGTGTAGCCTTTAAAAGAAGTTACGGGCGGTTCCCAACCTAGATGCTGTCGTAAGTGGATGTGTGATACCCTACTGCTCTGTACATTCATTAAATACATACTTATGGTTGGCTCAGTGACCCTGCAGTGAGAGGCCAAGGTACAGTTCCCAAATGAGACACAGCGTGGGTATCACACTGCCTTTAAGGGTGCGAAGCGGGAGACAAAGTCTCCAGTGACTGAGCTGTAAGCGTGGTTTTGAGTGGTAAGTGAGGCTGAGGGCCTTCATAGGCAACACATGCCTTGGCCTTAAAGCATGAAATCCTCTGCTTAAAGCCAAGTGTTTATTAGCTCCCCTCCCAGCCTTTGCACTATGGAAATGATGATGTTGCCATTGCATCTTTGGAGAAAAGGACACGGGAAGCAGACAAATGAAACGCAGGCTCCAACTCCCTTCTAGCTCCGGAATCCATTGTATTTGGGCCCAGCGTGCTGGAGGCAGCTGCCTGCAGTTTCTGAATAGCAAATCATCTCCATTGTTAGCAGCAAATTAAATGACCCGCTTCATTAGGCGGAGGTTGTTACTGAGGGCAGTTGGTTCATGCTGAATGAAAGGCTGATTTCCATTAAAAGAAAAGAAGGAAAGAAAGGAAGGAAGGAAGAAATACACATTTTGATTTTAGACGGCTGCTGACTTTTTGGTTACTGCTTACCAGCTCATAGTAAATAAAAGAGTGGTGCCATGTGTGCTTGATGGATACGATTTCCTTCTGCAAATAAGTGCTAGGGTATTGGAAGATGTTTCACCCAGGGGAAGGTGTATTGCTTTGTCGTTATTCAGCAGACAGAAACTAGATTGTCCCACTATGCCCCAGGCCCTTTCTTTCCCGGGCATTTGTCGTCTTATTTTAATTTTTCTCCCCTCTGCCTCTCAACCTCTATTCATTTTTCTTTAAAAACATTTTTATGGGGTGTTTTTTGAGTGCTGATATTTTTGTATATTGAAGCACAGCTGTTCATAAATATATATAGGGAGAGAGAATGGGTATCTGGGGTAAGTGAGACTGGGCAATAAAAAGCATCTCCTAAAACAGCAAGAGAGAGGGCATTAAACAGGTGGGACTCTGCAGTGTTTTGGAGGGAGCTTGCTGGCACCGGGTGGGCAGTTTGCTTGGTTTCTAGATCTTTGTTTCAAGCTGAACTCAGGTCCTTTATTTTTCTGTGCTGAGCATCTGTCATGTCCCAGTCTCACATTTGTCTCTCTGGGCTCTCCTGAGCCAGTCTCATTATTTTCTTATCAATAGGAAGCAAAGCATGCTAGAGGCTGAGAGAGAGGAGGAGTGGACTTCACCATGGCTCCCTCCATGTCTCCATTTTGTGCTTCTCAATGACTGCAGTGAGCACTGTACCAGTGAGCAGTGGTGAACACTTTAGAAATAGCTGAGTGACACAAGGAAGGATAGGTAGAAATAAAGGCCTTTGGTTGGAATTGCCCAGGATTTTAAAGCTTCCCACTCTCTAGCATGTTGGGTGGAGACCTCATTGGACTGGCACCTGCAGCAATTTGGCACAGGACCTGAGGTTATATTTTAATTTTCCATAAATATCATTAGACACTTCTAAAAAAAGTGTAAAAATAAAGTGCATAATCTAGGATCCTGTCTCAGTAGCTTCAGCGGGACTGTTTATGGGCTTGAAGTACCACCATTTGTGAAGGCTTTGGTGGATTGGGTGTACCTGTGGAAACCAATTTAACAGTTGCCTTTGCCCAGTGCTGCCATGTGCTTTCCTGCCCCGTACAAAGTTGTTAGTGCCTTCACTCGGTTTGTTCCAGTAGGGAAGGAAGCTCTTGCTCCACAAGCCCTGGGTTAGCCAGACATTTTAAGCATATATTTAGAAAATTCTGGGTATCTTCAGTCAGGTCCCTTTGATACATCTCTAGTGGAGTGTCCACTGTTTGAAAGCCCGGCTCTAGTTATTAGCTCAAAAAACCTTGACTCCTTGTCCCTTGTTTTAATCGCTATACAACATAGCCCCTCTTTTATGGACAGAGTGGATTATTCGACTAAAGTGGCGAAGTTTTCCCATATATTGCAATATATATATGTGTAGCTATGTCAGCTCTTTCAACTCTGATTTTCTAGGACTTCCCAGCTTATTTCTTCCCTTTTTTTCTTTGTCTAGGATGTCATTATTGATTGCTGTGTGTGATGAGGAGGAGGAAAATTAGAACGTGGTGTTTTATATGGGAAACATAAATGCACTGCCCAAACTATGGTTTCACATCCACAGGACTCAGCGCTGGGGAAGAGAGTGATGGGAACTAGGTTAATGCTATTAGGATGGATGGCCTAATGCGTATGAGCAGTAGGGGGGCAAGTCAAATTAACTCTGTCTGCCTAACTGGGGTGTTGGGTATGATCAATTGCCATCAGCTCGGATTATTTCCACGGGGATGCCTGGAGATGGATCAAATTCATCAATGAGCGGGCATTTCCCTGGGATGATGGATACCCAGACCAAGCACTCTCCCTTTAGGGCTTTTTGTTCAGTATGGAAGTGTGCAAACAGGAGCCCATCTTCCTTCTGTTCTTCCTCTGATTTCCCCACATTCCCCGTGTTTTAAAACAGTTGCGATATTAGGGTGCCTCCTCCCACAAAGCAGTCGGTATCCTTTGAGCCCTTGTGTCAGTCTGGGTTTATGGTAAAGCAGCACAGTTGCCAAAGACAATGGACTCAAATTGTAGAGTCTCAGGGTAGAGAAGCCAAGTAGCAAGAGGTAGAGAGAAACATTAGGGGAGACAGCAAGAGATGACAGGGCAAGTTGAGAAGAAACCTTTGTTGCAATTCTTTTTCTGCCAGAATGCAGTATAGTGGTCCAAACTCCACCAAGGCAGGCCTTCAACCAGCTGGAACCGTATATATTTTTTATCAGATGAAGGAGACATTCAGTGCTTGGAGTTAGTGAATGGCTATTAGGAGTAGGGGCAAATAATTCTCCCCCAGCATAGTTTCATAGTTTCTATGAAACTATGAAGCAGAGTATGAGACACTCCTAACATTAGATCTAGGGATGAAGAGTCTAGATCGTTGCCCTTTTGGATGGAGATGCGAGGACAAGAGTATTCTAGCTCCAGCAGCCCAGCGAGAGTATGGAGACTGTGCCAGAAACAGTTGCCATATTGTTACACGGATGCTGACCCAGCTCAATCATCTCTTCTCCTTATAGGTGAAGCAGTTCACCTCGCCCGGGATTTTGGCTACGTGTGCGAAACAGAGTTCCCAGCGAAGGCAGCAGCAGAATACCTGTGCCGTCAGCACTCTGATCCCAGCGAGCTTCACACCCGGAAAAACATGCTGCTGGCTACCAAGTGAGTATGGATACCGGTTGGCAACTGAGGCCCTATTGCGCTAGGCACTGTACCTACATCTTAGGGAAAGACCAGCCCTGCTTGAAAAGCTGCCAGCCAGTCTTCCAAGGACGTGATACTCAGTGCTTTCATATGCTGCCCGCAGTCATATCCGAAAGGGGTACACAACGTACAGAAATACATTGTATACCCACATCTGAAGGACAGACAGATATGCCTTTTCAAAGGTCATGCTCACCAATACTGCACACCTAGGTTTTGCTCTGCGTTTCAGGGCACGTTCCTGGGGAGTAGATCAGACCCAATGATCTCACAAGGTCCCTTCCTGCCCTCAACTTTTGTAAATCGGTGTGAATCAGAGGTAATAAGCTTTCACCTGAGTTACCAAACAGCTCCAGCCACTGTTGCTGGTGCTTTGTAGCTGCGGCTTTGTCTGAGATAACCGTGCATTCATGTGATGCTCTACTCTGAACAATGAATAGAAAGTGCCAGTGCAGGGTTTTTTTGCTTCGAGTGTCTCTGAAACTTCCAGATCAAAGAACTTAAATTTAAAAGTAAAACAGCATTTAATTGTATTGCAAACTTATCCTGGAACTAGATAGTCAGCCCATGCACTTTCTTTCTTGCATATCAGCACCAGTAATAAAAGTTCTGCAGGTAAATTTTGGCCTCGGGAATACCCAAGCAGACTCAATGCCTTCTAGTCATGCCCTTAGTGACACCTATGCAAACTGACTGGAAATGATGCAAGTGGGATTGGATTAAAGACCTGCCAAACACCCCCCTCCCATGTCAGCAAACAGCTATCAGTCAGTCTTATTGCTCAGGGGCTGACTTCACACCCAGGCCCCTAAACAGTCAGAAATGTTGCAAGCCAGTCTGAGTCAACTCATCCCCACAATGGGAATAGATTAAAAAAAAAACAAAGGGAGTGCAAAGCAAAAGAGAAGTGTATTGCCTCTTTAACACCAATAATGTTTCTTTCTCTCTTTTAGGCAAATTTGTAAAGAGTTTGCAGACTTGATAGCCCAGGATCGGTCTCCCCTTGGGAACAGCCGCCCATCAATCATCTTAGAGCCAGGTGTCCAGAGCTGTTTGACTCATTTCAGCCTGATAACTCATGGCTTCGGGGGCCCTGCTATCTGTGCAGCACTAACAGCCTTCCAGAACTACCTGGTGGAGTCCCTCAAGGGGCTGGATAAAATGTTCATGAACAGCACAGGGAACGGGCACGCAGCTGGAGACTCCAAAGCATCAGAAAAAGAAGTGAAGCATCGAAAATAACACACCACCTCTTTCTATATCTCCCCACAGAGGGAGCTCTCCCCAGCTCGTGACAGGAGGTCTGAGCTTATCAGTGTTGGAAAAATAATTAAAACCCAGGGCAGCACGTTTTTCCAAACTGCGATGCTTGAATTTGGGATGAAACTCGTTAAGCAAACAGAGAAAGGGAAAAAAAAAAAGATGTAAAGAATTTAAGAAGGAAACAACTTTAATGGACAAAACTGAGATCAAGAGACCAAGCCAGGTCAATGGCTTTTTTTTTTGTTTGTTTGTTTTTTTTTAATTTGAGGATGCAGGAAGCCAAGTCATGTGCAATTTTGTTTTGTTTTGCTTTTTAAACCCACAAGGAAATCCTGACGTGCTCCAGGAATCTCCTTAAACCGAGAAAAACCTGAAAAAACCAAGAAGGAGCAAAAGCCTCAGCAACTCGAGTAATTTTTGTAACCAAGGCACAAGTAAGCACAATGAGGATTTGGAGGTTGCAGGCCAGACCTGGATCTATAACCCATCTTCAGTAGGCAGATGCACAGGGAATCTTCCATTGATACCACCTACACACCGGTCCTGAACTGGGCTGAGAGAGTTGCCAGGAGCTCTGCTTTGGGTTTTGAGCAGTCCCAAGACTTCGTTTACAGCTTTCAGCAACTGCGACTTACTATGGATTTTCTCCATGGCTTATGGAGCCCTGAGCTGAGGGGAGAAACCACCAGCTCAGGCAGGTTAAAATTACACCAGGGACTAATCAAAACCCCACAACCTACAAATAAACAGCACACAGGTTTTAAAAATTATTAATAATAATATTAATTAATAAAGCACAAGGGGCAGAACTTGAACCAGGCCAAACTGAACTGAACTGCTCTAAATCTGTATATATTTATTTATGTGTAATTAAATCTGAAAGTTTTAAAATGTCCAGTGCAAGTTATTTATATCTAATTGAGTTGGGATTTTTTTTTTTTTTTTGAAAGATGAGAGTCTTTGGATTTTCTGCCATTAGAAATGGGAATGAAGTTTTGGATACACAAAACTGTAGCATGGACAATAGGCTGTGATGATAACTATAGAAGGTTTGCAGGATTTTGTACTTGCTGTTGTTTCTCTTAAAGCTGCAATAGATGTACAACACCCACACCACAATGTCATTCTCATTATCTTAATAAACCTCTTTTTATTTGAAGAAAATACCTCCACTGTTTTTGTAATGCTTGGATTATCCTGCTTAGACAGCTGCTTTAAGGACAAATTTGGAGGGGGGTGGGAGGGAGAAGACAGAAACATGGTCCCTTTTTTGTAGCTAGCATTCAACTGAAATGAGCCAGGAGTGCATAAGTGTGCTGAGAGTTACAGGAGCTGGAATTAATGCTCTAATCCAGCCTCAACACAGATCAGTCTGCAGGACTGAAGCCTTCTATACCATCTATGATAATATTGCAAAGAAGGGTTTAAAGCAGAGGTGTCAAACATCTGGCTTGTGGAGCAGCTCTGTCCAGCGAGCTGGACGACCAGCATGACTGGGGGAGTGGCACAGAATCAGGGACCATGGCAATGAACAGGCCCTGGGTCAAAGCTGGAGCTGCCACTGCATGCTCCGGGTTGGAACTGAAACCATGTCCAGTGCTGCGGTAGCAGCTCCAGCTCTGGCTCCAGCATGGGGCAAGTGGCAGGGGTTGGAGCCACTGCCACATATCCCAGACCAGAGCCAGAGCTGGTACCACTATTGCCATGTGCTACCACTGCTGCATCTTCCTCGTGCCAAAGGCCGGATCTGGCCGAGGGCACAAGGCAAGTTTGACTCCCCTGGTTTACAACACAAACCCAGGCTGGTCTACACTTGGAATAAGAAGGAGAATCTCCACACAGAGTTATTTTGGAGTAGCTATTCCCAAATAACTTAATTTGTAGGCAGACCTTGATACATGACATCAGTGACAGAATATACATGCTAATATACTACTATACACACATGATGTGGGGAGTCAAAAGCCTTTTCTTAATGCAACAGAATTGCTTCTTTGAGGCATTCTTTGCATACACAAGTCATTTTTAATGAAAACAATAGAAATACTATCAATATCAATACTAGTATTGATAGAAATTAAGACCCTGAATATCAGGATATAGCGGTGGTAAATATACAATTTTCTCCTTTTGGGCTGCTGGCGAGTCCTTTGGAAGTCTAACTCCCTCATCTCAAGGGTGGGACCAGCTTCTTTGTTAACGGAGAGGAAGACTGAAAGCTTACCTGGGACTCAGGAGACCTTGGGTTCAGTTCCTGCTCAACTCTGGGTACCTCACATTTTAGTAAAACTGAAGCCTCCATTTTCAGAAGCCAATGGGGATTTTTGAGAGCCAGAATTTTTACGGTGCTAAGTCAGAAGGTCCTGGTTTCTGGGGAGCAGGTATCTGTTTTCATTCTGTAAATAGGGGCCTCTAAGCAGGCCTGAAGTTAGGCATCCAGAAAGGGAGGTGAGTGAAATCAGTAAGTACTTGGGAGAACTTGGGTCTAAAGCCATTGAGTGCAGCTGGAACAAGTGGGAGTGGCAGGTGCTCAACATCACTGAAATTCAGGCCCATAATCTCTTGCTGTGCCTGAATAATCATTTTTCCTTTTTACAGGGGCAAAGAGAAGCAAAATACTTGGTGTCTGGGCCCCTATCAACTCCTTGCTTTTCACAGGGGGAAGTGTTAGGCACTTACCTCTCTTTTGTCCTATTAAAACTCCTTCAATAAAAATCAAATTGCTCATCCCCACCGTCTTGCTATCCCTGGGGACTTCCTTGAATTTTTCTTCACTCTAAACTGCTATGTCCACCTGCAATGCCACGGGTAGAGTTGCCCAATGCAGGAGTTTGTCACAAGGCTGCTAATTATTCAGTATCTCCTTCTCCAGCCAGGACCACTGTCCCGTAGGGCCCTCGCTTTTAATTTTTTCCACCTTCCCATCTCAAGAGGTAATGAGGCTTCTTTCCATAATGTATGGCTCAACCCCAGTATAAGTTCCCACACTAGTTACACATCTCACTGTGGGAGAATACATGACAGTGGGAAAGCATACTATACAAGAGATCTAGGCTTGGGCTGTCAGAGGACATAGTGGAATTTAATTCCTAGAGGGGAGTTTAAATAAAACGAAACAAAGCAAAGTGAACAAACAAACAACAAACCAAAACTTTAGATGAGCTACTTTTGAACACGAAAGAGATACTACAGAACAGTTTTTGACAAGTAAAGAAAAAACAATATAGCCTAACACACTTACCGGTAATTTGTTGCTATTTATCTGTTCCCAACGGTAAATAGAAGGAAACCCTGAACTGCGACTATAATGCATCACTAACATAAAGAAGAGAAGATCATAGTGTTTTGGTATTCTAGATGGCTTTGCACAGAAAAACAATGCACTTTAAACGATATCTTTAATGTGATAAGATGCTAATAGCCCTTTCTTTTAACACACCTCAGTAAATAGACCGTATTTTTGGGCCATGCTTGGTCCCCTTGATTTGTAGGAGAGTTTTAAATTCTAAACACAACAGACAAAGCCTAAAGGAGACACAAGGTGAACAGAGAGCAAATGTTTTCCTGTTGACTTGAATGGAGGGTCAAGAGGAATAATTTTCAAATCAAGAGTGTAAAACAGAAGAAAGGCAGTCAAGGTTCTTTGGGTGATATATTTTATTGGAACAACTAAATAGTTAGAAAAAAACCTATTTAGTTGGTCTAATACAGATATCACATCTACCCACAGAACCTTGTCTGTCTACGTTCATAGACTGGGGCAGGCAACTATTGCGGGTAGAGGGCCATTTACTGAGTTTTGGCAAGCCACTGAGTTTTGGCCGCATGACAGGCAGCCAGGGGCAGATCAGTATTAATTTTCTAAATTTTTTAGGGGCCCCACGGGCCAGATAGAATGACCTGGTGGGCCGCATTTTGCCCACCCCTGCCACAGACCAACACAGCTACAACCAAAAGATGGCTTTCCTCTATCCTGGAGTCCTGCTTACTTATTAAACAAAGTGCATGGTGGTCAAGGGGGTAAAAAAAAAATTGGCCAATAGTGAACTGAACAGCACTTCTTTTTCCCCCACCCCCTTGCTGATCCCAAGCCTAAATACTCATAGGTCAGCAGATTCAAAGAGACTATGACGACTTCTCTTAAGGAAGGATGGCCATCTCCTTAATTGCATGGGAAAGTCATGTACTTTTTCTTTCTCTTCCCAAGGGTAGTGGGACACTTCATCTCATAATCGAACCACACTGGATCCCTGCTGTGGAACTAGTGAGAGAGTTGCAATTTTTGTGACCCTTTCACTCCTCACCTTTGAAAAGAGGCTCCATGTGGACAGTGGTTCTCCAGTCTTCATTCCATCCATCCAGACCTTCCAGGGAGCCAAGTGCTCCCTGGAATTTTTTTGTGGTGATGACAATCTTCAAACAATGTATTTTGTGCTACTGGCCTAGGCAGACAGAATATTATCCTTCACAGAAGGCTACAGACTCATTTGTTCCCAGCACAGACTTTGGGATAACCAAACCTGAAGAATCCCTCCCACTCCTTATACAGAATAAAGACCTGTTAGAGAGTTTATTGTATTTCGTAGATTTTAAGTGCATGGCAACCATTCTGATCTCCGAGCCTTACCCCCTGTGTAGCATGATGATTTTCACTTGGGATGTGAGCAGAGCACCAAGAAACAAAAGTAGTATCCCCAGATCACCCCTAGACTTTACTATCACTGCAAGGGGATCCCCAGGCTTTGAGACTAAGTTCTTTATGACTGAAAGTACCAACTAGTATGTAGGCACCAGGCAGGATGGGTGCGTTCAGCTATGTAAAACAATACTGAGACCTAATATATTTTTTCTGTTTATGGGATGTGTTCTTGCTTGAACTTTCCTAGCCAGAAGGCAGCTGAAGACATGTTATCGACTACAGAAGAGTTCTTCCCAATTATGGTCTTTAACAGCAAAATGCAGGTTAAAAAAAAAAGTCATATCAAAAGGCTTAAGTGCAGATGAATCTCCCCGCTCCATGGCTGAGGTTAAGAGTATTAAATTATTATTCCAAATCAAAGCACGTCACATTTGGAGTGTACCTGGATGCTTTGCATCTCCCTTTTCTCTTACTGGAGCCCTTAGGTCTGATCTATTCATACAGGGCTTGAGTACATATAGCTTTAATTTCTTCATGTAATGCAGGTCTGAAACTGGCTTGTGAATCAAAGGACAGAGGTTTTCTTGCTACAGTTCAGTTCTCTAGTGACACATTCTGCAAACAAGAAAATCTGCTCATCTACCAGGTGTTTTTTTATGTCCAAAATTTCAGCTTATGTGAGTGGTCTCAGTTATTAATACATTCGTGTTAGCAGGACTTCAGCCTATTCTCTCATGGCATCTTACACTTCTCCTCACTCACGTTTATGCTGAGCACGGCAAATTAACTCCACTGCTAAGGCTCTCCTAGTAGCCCAATATCACCATTAAGCCTCTGTTATGGACATAATTTGAAGTTAAGTGGTGCATGGAGCTTTATGCTGGTTCTCTCTATAGGGTGCCCTTCAGCCTGCCTCTATAAGAACGACTTTACATCTCACCCATTTTGGAGTTTGACATAGTTGGGGTTTTCTTTATCAGTTGTTTTGTGCTAAGCTCAGAGATAGAGATATAGAAAAATATTGATCAAAGCCAATGGAACTGTGCTGTTTTATAGCAGTCACTGAGAAAATGGCCCTCTAGTCTTCAGGTTTTCCTAACTGGAACAAAAAGCTCATGCATTGGTATGCAAAACAGTCAGGAAGTGAAATTGCTACAATGGATTCATTAATGTATTCCAAAGTTTATTACACTCACTTGGACTACAGTTGGTGGCTTCCAGTACTTCCATCTTAGTAATGTCCAGACAATATACCTTCAGGATACAGGAAAAAGCCTGGTGGCTGGCACGGGAAAAAGCCAAGCCGATTTCTGAAAGATCCTGCTGTCTTGTCTATCTCATTTCATCCAAAACAATGACAATTCTGCACTGAGAAATCAGCTAAAATACACAGCAATGGATGAGAAGGGAGTCCAACCAACTTCCAGGAGTGGCAGGAACAGCAGTGGGCTTACACGATGCAAAATAAGCCAATATTGAATGGAAGATGCAGGAAGCAGATACTGTGATGTTAGTAAGAA